ATGCTCCTAGCAGCACCTGTGTTTTATTACACATGTGTGGAATGAATGAACATGAATGTTCCCAAAGGAATCATAAAAATAAAATTAGGGTGCAAAACATTCCACATTTCCCAGGATTTAGTTAATGAGTGCATTTATGATACACTACATATCTCTAACCTTGACTTTGACATCAAAACTTTCTAGAAATATCATCCTTATAAATTTTGAGAACTTTCTTCTAAATAGCCTGTTGATGAATCCATGTTTCCCTTCTTTCTCTCCATTTTTTTCTTTATTTTCTTCCATCGTTCAAAAAGCTTATAGGGATAAGTATTTAGTGGTCAATTGCTTACAAATCCATAGTAAGTGGACAATCATATTGGGTTGGGCTTGGTTTAAAGTTAAAGGTATATACAGGATATAATAAAAGCACTGAAGACTTCCACGATTTTGGAAATCGAGGAAAGACTACTTGGAAAATGTAATTAGGGAACCAAGTCTTAAAATTGAGGAAATAATCAGTCAGATGTTAATAGAATGCCAAGAGTGTCATGTTTTGAGATGAGAGATGGACAAACTTTAAGGATTTCTTTCAAAGTTTTGTAAAACTCTACATTTTTTACTAGCTTCTGATTCCAAGTCTAAGAAGAGCTGCAGAGGATTGTCTGCAGATATACTCCAACTTCTTTCCTTCAGAATATGCATTCAAATGAGACAGGCACATATGAGGTATGAAAAGTTTTATTTTGAGCCTGCCAAAGTTCAAACACAAGATTATAGTGTTAATTCTCATTTTTCAAGGCTGGAGAGTCTGAAAATAAACTCTATTAACAGGGAAGCATCCAGCACAGAACAAGGGTCATGATACATTCACTGGGATCATGTTCCATCAATGGAGTTGGCAGAATCAGGTTCCAAGATTGTGTCCCTCATTGGTTATGAGACCTGGAGCAAGTTATCAAACCTTTCTGAGCCTCTGTTCCTGCACATATCAACCAAAATTATAAAATAACCAGGAATATTATAAATATTCTGTGAGACAATATTGTATAAAATGTTTTGTACAAGTCTGGCATTCAATTTTCATTTAATAATATCTATTATTACTATAATAATTATTATTACTATTGACTAATTTTGTTGTTATCAACTCTTAGTACATGTAAGAATTACTTTAGGATTTTGGTGAACAATCAGAATCCTATATATCTTCCCACAATATACTTGTTCACAATACTTGGATAATAAATCTGGAAATTTCTGTTTTGAAATGTATTATGGATGATTTTTACATTGAGTTAGGATACTGCAAATATTTCAACAATCACACTTGCTTAAAACCCTGTACAGAGAGACTTGGAAAGAATGTAGTCAGTAACTGGGCACACTTTCTGTGGATGCTACAAAAATTGAAACAGTAATACTTACTCAGTGTTTTCCAAATTTTTTCCAAAATTATTTGCTTCCTACCTTCAAGTTGATTGGTAAAGGGATGAATAACAGTTATAGATTGATATTATTTTAAGCACTATCTATGTGCCAGAGATACAAGAAGTACTAAGCATAGATCAATCATTCTTTCCATACAACAAATCAATACATATTTCTTTATGGCTTCTGGGCTATTGATGAGGAAAACTATAACTAATGATACCAACTATTTTTCTGAGATCACACAGTAATTTTGTAGCAGAGGCAGGCTCAGGCTTTTTAGCATTCTACTGTGCTGCCTTTTGATAATATAAATTGGTGCAATTATAGTCAAACCTAAAGGCATTTTGTATGATATTTTATGTGACTATATATGGTATAAATTTCTAGCCCTGGAATATTAGGAGAAAAATACTCCAATTGTCATCTATTTGAATGGTCTCAAACTCCAGTCTAGCTGGAATAGTAAT